TTATTTTTTAAAGACCACACCTAACAAGGGTTCCATTATACATTTAGCAACACATGTAGTTTTGCATTTTTGGCTTACTTTTGGAAACTGAAATTTTGCAAGGCTTCAAAATAAAGACAGAACACCACTTTAACCTGGCTTTTAAGTTCTTCCCACACTGATTAAAATGTGCCTGTGCACACTGAAGGAGAAACCCTTGGGCTTATTGATCTATCATTACATCTATTGAAGTTTTAAGCTTGATTCAACTATTTGGTTAAGATAAAGATATGAAAATCTTTGCTTCTGTGTAATTTGAAAGCTATCATTCATATACTTCATAAAGTAAAGTTAGCCAAATAACCTTCTTGGATGAATACACGCTTTTATTTACAAGCAAATACTCTTATTTACAAGTAAATACAGCACAGAGCAATCCTAACACTTTTTGAAATGTGGATGTGAGCAGGAAACAGTAGGGTGCTCATCTACTGCTCAGAAAATATATCCACTTTAGAACCTCACTAATTTATGAAAAATTCTTTGTATTACATCTGTCATAAGAGGTGACACTGCTAGCAATGGACTCTCAAACAGGGTATTCCTGATGGAGAACAAAGCAGGGGGTTTCAGATCACTACATTGTTGTAAGCCGCCCAGAGACCTTTGGGTAGAGTGGGCGGCATATAAATTAAATAAATAAATAAATAAATAAATCTAAAGCTCTTTTTTTTCTCCTGGGAGAATCAGGCATAGTTAACTTTCTACACTGTTTTATATGAGGAGGGGAAAATTCTGATTACAAAGATCTATTAGGATTTTTTTTAATGCCCTTCCCAATCCCTCCTGTGCTACTGGTCTTTGGAAGTGATGGTGACTGGCTATTTTGCTCTCACTTCAGATCCTAACTAGACTTCTTCACTTCCCAGAAAATATGAGGACGTGTTATTCATTAGCATGTTCAAATTATCTCATAATGAGCAGAGATCAGCAGCTCACAAACAACTCATAATGAGCAGAAAGGAGCCATCTACAAACACCTGAAATCCTAAATGATANNTTATTATTATTATTATTATTATTATTATTATTATTATTATTATTATTATTATTATTATTATTATTATTATTATCATTATCATCATCATCATCATCATCATCATCATCATCACAGAGTTATCCACAGTAAAAACTGTTATCACCGTTTTTACATTTAATTCTGCATGATTTGGAAAACAAGAAAAATATCACTAAACCACACTAATGGGCTGGTATATAAATTAATGAAATAAATAACAATAAATAAACAAACAAACTGCATTTTAGATGAACAGCTACTGAACCATTTAAAAATGGATGTAGTGTTAGCTGGGGTAAGGTGGGGAGAGGAAGGGAGTTGCTCCACTGTAACATTCAAATCTACAAGAAATTCTACAAGATTTTGAGACCGAAAAGCGGGGGGCAAGTTACAAACACAGTCCCATCTTTGTGTGATTCCATGAGTTTCTTTTTTGAACTATCAATATGTTATTGTGTAACACAAAATGTATGCTATGTGGCTATATAGCTTACTAACCAGACCTCCGCAAAGCAACTGATGAGGACAGAAAAGAGGCTCCAAGTGGTTTTCTTGAACATCTACTTTCTCATTGAAACTCATCTCACTTGTCGGCAAGTACAGTGCTTTCATTGTATACACAGAGAGAACAGGAGGGTTTTTTTACCTCATTGGTTCTGTAGTCCTCATAGCCAAGACTCATCAATTCATATTATGTCACTCTCACATTAATCTTTCAAATACTCTACCTTAGAAATCTATCTGAAACAAGTAATCCCTTACAGTACCACTGGCACTGAAGACAGATTGAACACAGATCCCAGCATTTCTGCTACCAATCTATCCACCTTGTTTGTTTACTTTGGATTACTGATATTTGAGATTTCATGAACACCAACATTCACTATTCCATGTAGATGTGGGTACCTAAGAAAATATATCTCACTTTAATACATATGGAGAAGTTAACAATCTAAAACATAGTTAAAATGAACTGGCTGAATTGCCATTATAAATGCTAAGACTGAAAACCTTACTTCTCAAGTTCTCAGTTACTTAATGGCTGCTTCTTTGCAGTTCTGAACTGTTTTAGGTGACTCAGAAACACTTTTCTGATATCATATAAAAGGTTTACTGAACAGAAGCATTCATTTATCTGCTATTATACAATTTGATATAGGAGGAGATAAACTGAGATTTCAGAAACCAGAGAAAATATATTTATTACAATCAATTATTTGTCTACTTTCTTGTTTGTATTTTCTTATTACCATGTTTTGGTCTTTACTTAGCATGTTGTATGCATGTTTCTTTATTCTTCAGCTAAATCCAAAAATTCTGAAAATCGTTCCCCTACTATTCTGTCAGCATGCCATGTACAATTTTTATTTATTTTTATTTATTTATTTATTGTATTTATACCCCGCCTATCTAGTCATTTCAACCACAGCTCGGTGATTTAGGTATGGTTGGGAGTTTGATTCCCCCCTGTGTCTCCTAGAAGAAAAGGTAGCCTTTGTGGCCTTGGGAAAGCTGCACAGTCCCAGAATGCCCTGAGGAGAAGGGAACGGTAAACTACTTCTGTGTACTGTTTACCTACAAAACCCAGAAAATAGTTGCTACAATCAGAATTGATTTAATGGTAAATTATTATTATTATTCAAAAATACCAGGCAAAGTCAATCAAAATTATAAAAACATTAACTGGTATTACATAACAGATACAAGTTCTAACCAAAAACCTACATATCTGTTAAATATCAACATGGTATGATACGAGATGCCACCGAATGTGTTGTGATACCACGAGACAGGGATCAGCACTATGCCGTATGGAATGCCAGTCATCTCAATTATATTTCCCAGTCTTGCTTAGCATTAACCTAAATATTGAAGATGTCATGTGCTGTCAAGTCAGAACTCACATAGCAACCCCAATAGGGTTTTCAATGTAAGTGAGGTATTTAAGCAGTAGTTTCACCCATTCCATCCCACAGTGAGTTTCCATGACAGAGTTGGGGAATCAAACTCAGGTCTTCTGAGTCCTAGTCCATTATTCTATTCACTACGCCACATTGAGGAGAATGTGTATTTTCTCTGATTGACTGTGTCTGCATCAGCAGTTGCAAAGTTTGCTAGTCTTTACTGTTCAATTAGAAAATGCAGGGCCAGGGGAAGCATTGTGAATGCAAGTTACACAATGGAGGCAAAGTGTGTACTATGAAAAAAAAATGTCATTACTTGAAGGGGCACATTTCTATATAGAAGTTAACCATAATGTCTTTTTTCATCCCTCCTTTACTTTGGAACAAATAAATTTGTAAGGCTGGCTCTGTGTCGAGATTGAGTTAACTAGAATACCTGATTACTCCTTTCCGTGAATGAAAACCATTTACTTGAACTGGAATGTACTTAGAAAACCACATAACTGTCCCTCTCTAAGCTAATTCTATGAGGCAACACAACCACCCAGCCCTCCTGTGGTTGATGGTACCAGGAAATGACATTTGCCAGTACTGTTGGTTTGTGGGCCAAACCTAAAGTGGAAAACAAGACCAACAAGAGTGACAAACCTCAACCTGGAAAAGAGGAAATGACCAATGTGTAACAATAAAAGAGAGACTGATAAAAGAATAGTGCGAAAGAAAAAAAGACAGGAGCAAACAGGAATAAGTTGACTGCTACAAATTATTACATCTGCTTCCCAATATTAACATATGAAAACTATCTAATGAATCCAAAATTAGTGCTCTCTCCAATGACAAAAGACAAGTATTTTTTGCCATTTACTGCCTGAAGCAGGCATGAAGAGAAGATCTGCTAGAGAATATGGGACAGATTGGCTATCTATAACCAAAGCAATAAAACGCTATAGCTGTTCATCCTATTTCTTACATTGTTCATCGCAATAGTTCTGAATCCAATCAGGCCAAACCTCATCTCAATCCAAGGGCAATAGAGCCCTCCAGATGTTCTTGAACTCTAGTTTCCATCACCTTTGCCCAATGGCAAGGTTGTCTGGGACTTAGATTCCAACAACGTAAGGAAGACCAACATCCACTAAATAAAACAATGAACTCTGTAAGACACCTACTACTGTTTTGTAGCCGCATACCACAAAGAATGGAAGATTCTGTTGGTAGACAAACTGTCTTTCCAGAAAGAAAAAAAAGTCTGCTATCATAGGTCTTTTTATTGACAAAAGAAATCATATTGTGCTCCCAAAGATACACAAGGCTCCTAGATTCTAGTGTGACCTCAAGAAGGACAATCTCCCACTTTTCAGCTGGTGCTCCCAGGAAGCTCCTAGGAGTAACAGCTAAGAGAAAATTGTTTCCCGTTCTTGCTTCCTAGGTGGAAAAGCAGACAGAGAGAGAAAAAAAGAAAGTACTCTCTGTGGTGGTTCCTAGATGAGAGGAAAAGGGAGTAACCTACTCCCAGTCTGCTTCTGGGATATAACCACCTCCTCAGTGTCACCCAGGGTGTGCAGTGCTTAGATGGGAGAATCCAGCCCTTCACACAATTTCACAAAGCTATAACTTTAAAACTCCTGTTGCAAAGGAAAAATTCCCCTCTTGTCCAAGAACAGAGTATGTCTGCATCCATAAACAGATTCTCTGTAACATTACAGATGTTAATTTTCCCACTATAATGATAGCTTTTCCACTAGTTTAATTTAGATCAGTTTTCAAGGAACAGTGCCAAGCCTGACATCCCATCATTCCTGCAAAATGAACATGACAATTTTATTCCTCACTTGATAGCAACACTGCTATTTTGATTTGATAGAAATAAATATTTTCCAAGTATTACAAGCAAGGATATCACAAAGAGACTAAACATACCAACCAATTATGGAGCTAATTTTTAATCACACACACAAAAAATACCTGTTGCAGTTATTAATCTGCTAATGTTTGCAGCTCTTATTTATAATTTGAAATAGTCGTTTTCAGTGCCTTACCAATTCGAGTAATTTTATTGTAGGAAAGTTCAAGATTCTGGAGATTACAACAACCGTACAATCCATGAAGTGATGAAATATTATTCTTGTTCAAAATCAGAATGCACAGATTTTCTAGATTCTCACAATTAATCATGTGAATATTGTTCTCCTGTTAAGAAACATAAGCAAAAAAAAAAAAAAAAAAAAGATAAATCTTAATGTTTTCCCTATAGCTTCTGGACTAATGAATAATATTGTAAATCTTTAAAATAGCAGTGCTTAGAATGATAGCACTAATATATAATTCTCAATTAAATGGGTGAATGAATTATTAAAATTAGGCTCAGAAATATTATGTAGACTCAATAACATATCTTCTATTTAGAACCACAAAACTCTTATTGAATCACTGATGCAAATACATTTAGGATTGCAGCCAAAGTTTTAAAGTTAGAATAACACACACAGAAACACTGGTCAGTAAAAGGTTAGCAGACAGCTAAATATATCAGATTTCACCACTGTTTTTGCTGTACTATTGCAGGCACTCTAAGCCAATGAGTATTTTGAATAACTTTAGTCTGACTTATATGTCAACCATGACATTCCAAGTGGTTGGTGAGGCTGTCCTGGCATTTGATCTGTTTGGCCACAGGAGACTGTAATTTACCCATTCTTTAGATTTCTCATTTATTTTTCATACCTTTGAAGCATTAAGATTACAGATCAAAACTACAATCAAGGGAGGGGAATATTCCAAACTTCTTTATTTCAGTGAACCTTCTGTCCTCAAACTACACCAGTGTTCCCAGCATGGCATTCACCAGATGTTTTACATTACATCTCCCATGATCTCCAAATGCTGTATATCCTGCTGGAACTTCTGGGAGTTATAGTCTATAAAATCTAGGAGGCACCATGTTGGGGAAGACTGACATTATGCTATACTGAAACTCTCCAGTACTAGCATAACCCAAATATTTACAAGAGAAATCCTGTAGATCACTCTTTTAACCTTAACTGACATCACTGGTGAAATGGAGCCACAGTTAGCAAGGTCAAAGCTCTAAGGCTTTTCGAGTAGCAGTGACTATGACATCATCCACTACCACACACACTTCCTCTTCCCTTTGAGCTCAGGTGCAATTGTCGAAGCAGCTGGGAGAGAAATAGACTTCCCCAAAAAATAGTATATTGTGATAAAGTTATGCTTATTGCAATGCAAAGTATCTGAAAGTGGTTTGGTTTTAAATAGGCCATTAAATTTACAAAATATCTGCTCCTTAATTTTTGATATTGATAGTAGCTTGCATGTTTTGACTCTCCTTATGAGTGAGTACGCTATGGAGACTGTCATGATGAGCACCTGCAATCCCACATTTACCATTGTCAGGCATTAAGAGTTGTCCTTGTTCATTTCAGAGGTTGGAAGTAATGTCATGCAAATAATACTATTATCTTCCAAAATTATTTTACTGTAATGAACAAGCAACTATGTGTGGTTTTTTTGCAAACCAATAACAGCTTGCAATTTCATTAACTTTTATCATAATGAGTGGCGCTAACACATTACTCTAAAAATAAAAAGGAATGCACTACATTTAAAAAGGCTAGCAGCTAGTAGTGATGCATTAGATTTTTGAAAATAATGTTCTTTGCTGAGGAACTCATTCATTTGCAGAGGGACTGAAGAATCAGTTGAAGGATGCCAATGGAGCTACTGTACCTGAAATTAATACTATGTCTAAGGCTAGAGTTACCCCTTTACAAATTTGAAGTTCTAAAACTTATTGTTGCCTACTATTGCCAGGAGGTGTTCTTATTTAACTCACTGCTGCTTTCCCATTCCCAGTCATGGTAACTGGAAGTTTTCCCTCATCTGTGGGAAACAACCGTGGCTAAGGAGAAACCAGCCCAGACCAAGGGAGTTTGAGGGAGAAATTGCTGATGGGTTGAAGTGGTAAACATCCAAATTTATGCCTCTACCCTTCCCATGAACATTGCTGGAGAACATGAACTACAGCATTTTCACATTATATGCAAGAAGGTTTTCAGAAACATATATAATTCACACCTGCATTCCTACATTAGATTTATTGCTTAAAGTCCTGTATTTATTCCAATGTGACATTGAGCAAAATATATGATACCTCTACGTTGATATACTTTAGATCTTTGCAGTTGCTGAGTCCTTCCAAAGCAAGTAATCCACAGCACCTAAGACTCAAGAACTGAAGCTTTGAACACTGTGACAGTGTAGAGAGGCTGCATCCTGGCAAATCTTGAAAAGTAATTGTAGTCACCTATACACAATTTAGTAAGAAAAATAAGAAAAATACATATACTCAATGTCTTAATTATATATGCAATAAATAATACATAAATTGCATCTCTATGCAAGGATACATAGTGTGCTGCAGTGGAAATGGTGATGGGCTTGGACGAAGGAGCCCTGGTTTTGAATCCCTGTTCAGCCATGGCAACTCACTAGGGGAGTGGAATTGGTAAAGGTAAAGGTTCCCCTTGACAATTTTTACCCAGTCGTGTTCGACTCTAGGGGGCGGTGCCCATCCCCATTTCCAAGCCATAGAGCCAGCGTTTTGTCCAAAGACAATCTTCCGTGGTCACATGGCCAGTGTGACTTAGACACGGAACACTGTTACCTTCCCACCGGTGGTCCCTATTAATCTACTCGCATTTGCATGCTTTCGAACTGCTAGGTTGGCGGGAGCTGGGACAAGCGACGGGTGCTCACTCCGTCACGTGGATTCGATCTTACGACTGCTTGGTCTTCTGACCCTGCAGCACAGGTTTCTGCGGTTTAGCCCACAGCGCCACCACGTCCCAGGACGTGGTAAAGCCACTCCTTAAATATCTCACTTGCCTCAAAATCCATATCAGGGCCACTATAAGTCATTTTTGATTCGATGACACATAGCAACAGCTGGCTCCATGCTACTCAACATGGTACTGCCTAAATGGTTAGAAAATTCAAAATCTTATCTTGGAGGAGAAAATGATTCATGATCTGCAGTGCCCCTTAAAAACCCTACAACAAAATCTACAGAATATATAAGCTGCCTTACACCAACCAATACTATTGATCTAGCTAGGTCACTACTGTCTAAATAAGCCTTCAGTCCTTTAGTACAGAAGCCCACCTCTAGGCCAAACATGCCACTTGTGAAACAGTTCTTGATTTTGTTTTACTTATATATTTTATGGTGGAATTCCCACTGAATTCCAACCCAGGTGTTGGGGCTGCTGATAGAGAGAAAGGTTATAGACAAATTAAAACCTCTTCTCACTGCAAGATTGTTGGGATGGGGAAAGGTTAAAGCAATGACTCAATCCTGCTCCAATTATCCTGGGTCAGGAGAGGCTGAACCTTCTCACACCCTACGGCGTTGTGTCTATGTATTTGTATGCCCCAACTGCCATCGAATGTGGCCCTTGAAGCCAAAAATATTGTATATCTCTAATTATACTGATTTCCATGGATTCAGGCAAGCATCTCACCAAAACTCACCTGGAAATATTAAAAATGAAACTTTGGAGCTTCTACACACAAATAGTATGTCCTATTACTGAGCTATGTCCTCTTCCTCAAGGGGACTTAACCCTGAACACCATGTTCTATGCTATAACATTTTTTGACTTTCTGACTGCCAAAACACAGTCTGACTAAGCAGTGTAAAGTCACCTGGAAACCTGGAATCAGGTATACTTTGAAAAATTGTTAGAAGAGACCCTTTCAGAACCAAAGCATCTCGAAAATGAGATATTCTATGTGATACTATGGGTTCAGCTGTTGTAGAACAGAGGCTGGAATCTTGTTACTTAGAGTAGTAAGTACATTAGAGGAGGCCCATTAAATCAGTGGGGATTTGGTGAGTCAACTCTTCAATTTGTTCCGTTGATTCAAATGGGGCTATTCTAGTTGCAACTGACAGAACTGAAGTAATTTGCAACTAGAGCAGATCCATTTGAATAGAAGAGTCAATTCACCAAATCCCTATTGATTCAATGTCTACTCCAGTGCAACTTACTGTACTAAGCAACAGCATTTATGCCAGAACCTAGACCTTTGTACAGTACCCTGCACATTAATACTAACAGGATGTACAAGATAATACTTCTATAACAGCTTGGAAGTTTAGGATTCACTTGCCTGTTGTAGAGCATTTGAAGGGCTAGCTTGAATTATCATGGCAGCACTCAATGGAGGCATCAGGCCTGTTGAGCATTTCCGTTGCTTGCTCCTTTCAGTTGTTTTTTTCCTCTGATGTTCGCTGTAAATTCTAGACCAGGATTTACATGTTTTCATCCATGCTAATCTCTTTTTTTCAATTGAATCAGAAAGCAGGAGTGTTTGCTCAAGTGTTTTGACAGAATTCTCACCTTTGACCCAATGATTAGGGGCTTCCTCATGAACTTTTTCAGCAAGGTGTGCTTTAACATTTTCAGAGGTATAAGGTCTGAATATCTTTCCTGAGTCTCCAGAATCAAGCTGAATATTGCTATTAATATCATTCATATGGAAGCTGATCTCCAGATTAACTTCTGCATCAATTTCTAAATTGAAAGCATCTGTTTTACTATTTTTCTGACATCCGAGAGTTGCCACATGGAATTTTAGATCATTCTCTACTGATTTTTTACTATTTCTCTCATTAAGATTTTCTTCCTTTCCAGATTTCTGTTCTCCATTTTCACTTACTCCACTGTCACACTGTAATGTCCCATGCATTCCATGTTTTTCAGCTTGTTTCACTTCCTCATACTTTATTTCTTCTGTTTGATTTTTCTGTTCTTTTTCTATATTTAGTCCATTATATTCATGTTCTTCTTCTTCCACCTTTTTAATTTCTTTTTCCTTATTTTGTTTTCCTGACATTTGACCTGTATTTTGAGAATCTACTCCCTTTTGGGTTCTGAAATGGTTTACTTCCTGTAGTTCTTCCTTTTCCATGGCTTTCTCTTCGTTTGTCTTTTCTGTGTCTTCTTTATGCTCACAATCCATTTTCTGATGTATTTCTTCTTTTTCTATATTTAGTTCTCTTTTATCAGCTTCTTGTTCTTTCACCGTTTTTATTTCTTTATCCTTATTTCCTTTACCTAACATTCCATCTGTATTTTGAGAATCCACTCCCCTTTGTGTTCTGGCAGGGTTAACTTTGTTTAGTTCTTCAAACCTTTTCATGGTTTTCTCTTTGTTTGTCTTTCTTGTATCTTCATCCTTATGTTCACAATCAACTTTTTTTTCTATTTTTTCAGTTTCATTTTCTTTTATATTTTTTATTCCTTGTTCTTTCCTGGGTATCTGTATTTCTTTAGCCATATTTCGGAACTCTGTTTTCTCTTCAGTATCTAATTTTATTTTGCCTTTTTCTTCTTGGTTGAGTTCTCCTAACTTTAGTTGTTCCCGGTGAAGTCTCATAAGCTCTTTCTTTTTTTCATACACTTCACGTCTCTTCATTTTTTCCTCATGTTCTTCCCTCTTTTTCTCTTCCCGTTGCCTTCTTTCTTTCTCTTCTTGTTCCTTTTTCTCTAGAGCCCTCTTTCTCCATCTTTCCTGTTTTTCTTTCATTTCCCTTTCCATCGCTTCTTTCAATTCTCTTTTCCTGTCCAACTCTGCCCTCCATTGTTTCATCATGGGAGCATACTTTTTGTATACCATGAATGCTCTAAATGTAGCTTGGATTTTTACAGCTGCTATAGTCTGCTGTTCTGCCAACCACTGTCTTTCTATTGCTTGCTTTTCTTCAAACATCCTTTTTTCTTCTTCTATCTGGATGTGCAAGTTGCTAATCAATTCCTAAATGCAAAACAAGGAAAGTGTGACATTGTAAGAAACATCAGGTTTATAATTTACAAGTACATACCACACTATTTGATTTTAATCATTACATGCTAACTACTCCAAAATAGGAAGCAAGGCAAGGAACCAGTTCAATGCCAAATGTAATTGCAATTTTTCCCAGTCCAACAAGTAAAATTATCTTTGACCTTGGTAATAGACTTTCTTTTCTACACCAACAAAACCACCTGCCAGCTTTGAAAGGGATAGAGACAATCCAGATTCCACGGAGTTGTTTTGTCTTTTCAAAATGATAACTAAACACTATTCTGGGGAAAACCTAGCATAGTGCAATGAGCCCCATTTGAGAGTGTGTGCATACTTCCTCTTTGTTATATAAGAAGACAACATGCAGAGAACATTACTATGAAGATCTCTTCTCCTCTACCTACCCTGTCTACTCTTTTTTTTTAGAAAAGGTAATGTTTGGCCCAATGAAAAGAATTGAAGACCATGAAAGTTTATGTACATTTTTGATTGACTTAATAAAGGCAATGCCACCATGAGCTTTTCTTTGGCCAAATATGGCTCTCTCACTTTTCTCATTTTTTATTTCAAGAACAGAAATGAATTGGATAGCCTTCTGTAAAATGTACACACATTATTGTTTTCTGTTTATTAACCAGTACATTTGTGTTATATTGTTATTCTGACATTACTGTTTATTCATTTTTCTGTTAGTTGCTTTGGCTATCCTTTGGGATATAAAAGCAATTTACAAATATGAAATTATACATTTACATCCATACTAGTAATTGTTTAAAAAGTACTTCAGTATCAACAATTATAGGATAAGGGCAGCCATATTGGTGAGTGTTCCCTCAAAGAACAAAAAGAGATTATGCTCACAGCAATTCACAAAGACACAACAAGTAAGGGAAAATCCCAAAATCTGGTTTATTTTTTCATTAGTTAATCATTTCTCATCAAAACAGAAAGCAACTGTCAGGGCTGCTTCTTGATAAGTGTAGGCAGTAGTGAGCACAAGAGGGTATCCTGTATACTCTCTTGACTGCTGTCATTGATGTTATTAACATTAAGGCTGTCTTTCACTATGAAAAGCTTGGCATCCTTTTTCATGCTGGCAACACGGACATGGTATTGTGCAACTATATCAGACCATTACTTGGCATTCTGAATTGTGGATAAAGCAACACACTATCCCATATTCATAAACTGGAGGTGTTTTTTTTCTTTTTTGAATAATTGAATATACACATACACATAATATATAAATATACATATATATGTACACATAGACAGTTTAACCCTAGTCAGTCATGTAATTTCCTCTATCCTTTCAATAATCAGTCCTAACCAAACTAGAATGTTATCATGCCACTATAATGAAGAGATGTTTTAAATGCATAATAAATATTTTGTTCAAAACATAGAATTGATTATGGGACCTGCAGTTCATCACGTCTGGAGGGCTAGTCAGTTAATCAGCCATGGCTCTTTCACAAAGCTGAAACTATTTAAAGATTTCCAATATTTCAGTAGCCAAAGTTATCCAGAATAAAAGCTACAACTATCTGCTCAATCCCTGACTAGTCATATCTACGCAGCTGCTACCTATTGGGCTTGGATACTCCTCTAATTCATGGTCTAGAATTCACAGCAAACTGTAGTTTGCTACAGCATCCAAACAAGGCAAAACACAGTGAATGCATATAGTTTGTAAATCATACATTTTAAACCTTGGTTCTGAATGAGTGTCAAATTTTATTGGCAAAGATGTCACAGTTTGGCTTTGATATAGTAGAAAACTATAGTTTTCTATAAATTAGAAAGTGAGTATAAGAGGGGACAGGAAAACCTATGATCTCAATGCATCATTCCAACATCTAAATCATGGTCCTGGACACTGTTTGTTATTTGGGCCACCATGCAGCATCATTTTGCCACACATGAACTATAATGCACTAGTGCATATTTTGTGGAAAACAGGAGGGCCTGGCGTGCTCTGGTCCATGGGGTCACAAAGAGTCAGACCCGACTTTATGACTAAAGAACAACAATGCATATTTTAACATATGTTTATATATATTACCTTGTGCCCTCTCAGCTGTTCTTTCCAAACCTCTTCCTCTTTTAGCAGCTCTTCTTCCATCTTAGCCTGTTGTTGCTGTAAATAATGCAAATCTTCAGTTTTATCAGTTTAACATATTTTCAGAATTTCAGTAATAGTTTATTTGTTTGTTTGTTTGTTTATTCAAATTATATACCACCTGGCTAGCAAATTGCTACTCTAGTGTCCTTTATAGGCTGCCTTTCTCCCAATGAGAGAACTCAAGGTGGTTTACAACATTAAAACAAGTAAAAACACAATAAATTATACAATTAAAAATCAATGAAACAACAGCAACAACAGCAACAACATGTTGTGGTTAAAATGTTTAAAACATTACAAACAAAGTTCATTAGCTAAAACCAGCATGTAGGAATCAGTTATTAAACCCTGTCAGAAAAGATGGGTCTTCAGCTGTCAGTGAACAGATAAAAAAGAAGGGTCAACTAAATCAGTAAATTGGGCCTAAATCCAATCACTAGTCTCAAGCAGAGCAAAACCACTGAATCAATGGGATTTACATAAATATTGATTTATTATTCAAGCAATTGATTTAAAGAGTCTACCAAACAGGGAGTAACAATATGATTAGGCTGCATTTAGTCAGTAGAAGTAAATACATATTTTCTTTTAATTTTTTTTAAAACCATTTTAAAAGCTTCACATAAAGTTACATTTAAATTTACAGTATCCTCAAGGTAGTTTCCCTAATGCACACTCTCAGTCTCTGAAAATCCCTTTTCTTAGTAGGAGGATCATCAGAAGGGATTATGCCCCAGCTCTCAAAAGGAATATCACTGAAGTAAGATTCTATTCACAAAATGAAGTAAAGAATCTGTTCAGGAAAGGCAAGTCCATGCATAATCACAGTTTCAGAAAAAAAAGGTTACTTACCTGTAACTCTGGTTCTTTGAGTGATCATCTGTGAATTCACATTAATGGGTTAATCTGCGCCTGTGCAGAACAGCCTCGGAATCTTCCAGAGCTTCCACATGCTGGCTATAACACACACACACCCGGCACCGAGTGCCTCAGTTCTGAGGAACTGTCTGCCACTGCACAGCATGCAATAGCACATGTGACAGACAGCAGGCAGGAAGGGCAGGAAGTGTGAATTCACAGATGACCACTCGAAGAACCAGAGTTACATGTAAATAACCTCTTTTTCCTCTTTGTAGCCTGTGGGAATGCACACTAATGGGTGATTAGCAAGCTAATTTACCAGGTGGAGGAATGTCACGAAAGAATAGATGCCAGGACAGCTTGGCCAACTGCGGCTTCAGCCTTTGCCTGCACATCCAGGTGTGAAGGTCTACTGTGAGGCCCATGTGGTGGCCTTGCAGATACCTGCCAAGTCTACCCCTCTAAGGAAGGCCATGGAGGAAGCAACGACTCTTATCGAGTGAGCTCTGACAGTGCACGGTAAAGATGCATTGGCTAGTTCGTAAGCTAGACGAATTGTGACCACAATCCAATGGGAAATAGTTTGTGATGTAACTGGACAGCCCTTTGACTTGCCTTGGAAGGAAACAAAGAGGCAGTGGGAAGAGTGGAAAAATGTAGAGTGGACACATAGTACGAGAGCCTTTTTAACATCCAGGGAGTAGAGGGCTCTCTCCAGGTTTGAAGTAGGTGCTGGGAAAAAAGTTGGCAACACTATAGGCTGGTTCAGGTGGAATCCCGTAGCAACTTTAGGCACGAAGGAAAGATCTGGGAATAGAGTCACCTTATCAGGGTGAAACTGGAGGAAGGGAAGGTCAATCCGAAGAGCAGCCAACTTTCCAGCACGCCATGCCAAGTTGACAGCAAGCAGAAATGCAGTCCTTAGTGTAAGCAGTTTGAGAGATGCCATGGCCAAAGGTTCGAAAGGTGGACCATAAGCTTGTTAAGCGCCGGCTAAAGTGACCACTGAGGAGTGGGGAGCTTTTTGGCTGGATGTAGATTTTTTAGGCCCTTCAAGAATTGTTTAAGGGTGGGGTGTCGGAAAAGGTTTGCAGACTCAGAGGAGGGAAGCTGATGAGCCATTATCGCAGCTATGTATACTTTAAGCATGGAGTGCGGTAAACCCAAGCGAAAAAGAAGAAGCAAAATTGCAGGACTGCCTCCAAAGAGGTAGGTCTTGCAGGGAAATGATGTGAGAAAGTGAAAGCAGAAAATACCTTACACTTGTAAGTGTACGTTGTAGTTGTGGAGTGCTTGCGCACATGGCCGAGGATGTCCGCTATTATGGGAGTATCCTCCAAGCTGTTAGATGTAGGGATTCCAGGTCTGGATAGAACATCCTGCCCTCGTGCAAAGAAAGGAGGTGGGGCAGAGATGGAAGTCGGACATGGTCCACCGAGGGCTGATGAAGGGCAGAAAACACGTTTGGTGAGGCCACCATGGGGCAATGAGGTTGGTGTTTGCCCTCTCTTCCTGAGCCTTGATGACAGCCTTCTGTACTAGTGGGATTGGTGGGAACATGTACAGAAGCCCCTTGCTCCAAGCGGTCATGAAAGCATCGCCCATCGAATGATGGCTGACACCTGCTCATAAACATTTCTTGTTGGTGTGATAGGCAAAATGTCCAGTAGGCATCCCCTAACACTGGCAGAGTGACCAGAATACTTCCATGTCCAATGACCATTTGTGGCTGCATTCGTGGAGCCTGCTCAGATGATCTGATAGGGCACTGTCTTCTGAAGCCACTTGCACTGCTATGGGGTAGACGTGGCGGGAGTAGCACTATTCCCACAACTGGATCTTAAGGTACAGCAGATGGAGGGAATGAGTGCCACCCTGCTTGTTCTGGTAAAACCCACGGTGGTCTTGTCCAATGCTACAATTAAGCCGCCTAGAGTGGTCGAAATGACCCAGGGATGCTGAAAAACATGGATTATAGTGAACAATATTTTAATAGTGAACAACATTATATCCTTGCCCCGAAGCAGGTGCTCAAAAGCCCGGAAGGCCTTGTATACAGCCAGGAGCTCCAGGAGGTTGATGTACATGAATCTCTCCTCCGAAAACCAGAGGCCATGTACTGTCAGTTGTTTGATGTGTGTCCCCCATCCTGTTGGGCTTGCATTTGTGGTTACTTGTACCTCTGGAGCCAGGGGACCAAATGATTGTCCTATCAGCAGGTTTGGTCGAAAGGCCCACCATGCAAGTTGCACCGCTAGCTCCAATGTTACTGTCAGTTTCCTGGCGGGTGGGTCTCACAAAGTGACAGGTACCAGGTCTGCAACCACCTCATTTTCAGTCTGGCGTGTTGAACCACTGCCATGGCAGAGGCCATCAAGCCCAACAGCTGTTGTACCTGAAGAGCCTGCACTGCGGTTCCTGGGGTGAAATGTGTCAGCATGGAATGGATTTTCAAAATCCTGTCCTCTAGAAAGGAAACCCGGCCCAAAGAGGCATCCAGGATGGTCCCAATATACAACACTTTCTGAGTGGAATGAAGGGTAGACTTTTCTTGGTTTATCCGGAGTCCAAGATTAGACAAAAGGGATAGAGTAAATGAAATGTCTTTAACCAACTGGGCACGTGATGGTGCCACCAGCAGCCAAGATACGGGAATACTGTGCAAGGAAAGATGAGCCGCAACTGGGGCCAAACACTTTGTGAACATCTGTGGCAGAATGGCTTGAATTTGTAAACCAGTCCATCGAGAGAGAACCTTAGGTAACGCTGATGCTCGTGCTGAATATTTATATGAAAATAGGCAACTTTGAGGTCTATTACTGAAAACCAGTCTCCACGTCTCAACATCTGGATAGTCCTGTCCAAAAGTCTGTGTTCTCACAGTGAGTCTTATAAAGGTTTTCCACCCTCCTCGGGATCTGAGACGATGTAGAAGGCTTACTCCATGGCTCCTTTACTAGCTTAAGAAGCGAGGAGATGAAGGCCAGGCGAAAGGAAGGGGACTAGGCCTGCGTGATACTTCGTAGACCTTGTCCACCTCCTCCACCGTTGGTTGGACACTAGCTAAATCCATAACTTGTGCAATCCTCCAAATAAGGTGGGAGTAAGCTGAGTAGTCCTCCAAAGGAGTTGCAGGGTGGCTCTCAGCCACCCTTGATCCTGGTGTGGGGAGTCCTTCTCGACATCATCCTCCAAGATGTCCAAGCCGGACTAGAAGTCATCGTCCCTATCCAGAGAGTGCTGTTATGGGTCCGGACGGGTGAGAACAGAGCGGGATTCCTATTTGGGCTCCAGTGTGGAAGGATCCAGCTGGGCAGGGGTGTCCTCCCATCGAGGCTGAACTGCTGGAGCTAATTGCCTGTGGTGCTACTCTGGTTGGACAGTTGGAGGTCCCTCCGGTACCAACTGTCGGCCGTCCATGCACCAGGCAGGGTCCCACAGATAGTCATTGTCCACATAGCAAAAATCACTGTAGATTCCTTGATATTGAGGAGGTGATGGTGCAGGTGAGAACTGCCCATAATATTGCCATTGACACTGAGCATAAGGGTCTGGGCCATAAGGAGCCTAGTACCGGGGATCCTCTAGATAGAAGCCCTCGGGATCAAAACGGTCTCAACATCGCTTCCAGTACATTGGTGGATAATTCCTGCAAGGATGGTAAAGGTCTACTGGAGGTAGCCAATGCTGAGAGGCTTCAGGCTCGCCCACAGGCTCCAGGTGCCTGGTCTTCTGTTTTTTCTTCTGTGGCCTCTCCACCAACACTGAGGCTGGAGGCAATGGAGAACGCCGAGCGGACACCAAGCCGGGTATCAAGGTTGGACCTGCAGAAGCCTCAATGTGCATCTCAGCCAAGGAAGCTGCCCAGTCCGGAGAGAGACTCAAGTGGAGTGATGGTGCAGCTGCCTGCCTCGGAAAGAACATGTCCTCATATCCAGAGAGTATGCTAAAGCATATGGGCTCATGCCGAGCTTACACTGAATGTGCCGACGATAGCTGGGCTTCAGGGATGACTGTAGACAGCTTCGTGGCCTCTTCTTTTTCTTTGGGATCAACACCCAACATTGATACTGAAATAGTCGACCTCAAGCCCGAGGAAGACGCCTTTGCTGCCTTTTTCACTGGCTTCAGCGAACAGCCCACCACAGATGATGTCTCCAAAGGGGAAGCATGTGGCGGATCCATGGCTGAGTCTCGCGCTGGGCACAGAGACTTTTCCCAGAGATGGGAATAGAGGCGTTGAAGCCTTTTCTTGCATGTCAGGTTTGTGAAGCCTTTAGAAACGACACACAAGGCTGACTGGTGCTCTTCCCCCAGGCAAAACAGGCACTGGGAATGGCTGTCGGAAAGCGGGATCTTGTCCGAACACAAAGAACAGTGCTTGAATGAGCCTGGAGCGGCCATAACTTAATTAAGCAAATCTAATAACACAATTTTATAGACTCAGAAATCCGAGGGGAAGGTCAAGAAAGAGTCAATGTTCGAAAAACCAGGAGATCAAAGATAAGAAAGATGAATAGAAAGTGCGAACGCAGAAGCTCCAAATCGAGTAGCTGCAGCGGAGGCGGCAGAAACGGAACCGAGACACTTGATGCCGGGGCGGGGTTATAGCCACCATGTGGAAGGTCCCAGCACCACGTGGAATCTGGAAAATTCCAAGGCTGCTTTGTGCAGGCGCATGTTAACCCATTAGTGCGCATTCACAGAGACCACAAAAAAGAAATAGCAAATATACTAACCTAGGGTGCATGCATTTCTAAGGGTCAAATTAAAATATAGTAAGCATTCCCTCAAGATTTTGTTCAGACAACTTCAGGGTACTCAAAGTATTAATATTCCCCCTGGAGCATTTTTCTAGCTATTCATCCATCAGAATATGTTTTGTATTTTAGCCTCTCTAGGAAACGAAAAGGTGAAATAAATATGTCTGAGAAAGAAAACGCATGCAAGCTGGAGCTTATTAAAATAAAGGAGCAATAATACAACTGTTTATCATGTTCTGATTGTCCATAGATAGATAGATAGATAGATAGATAGATAGATAGATAGATAGACAGACAGACAGACAGACAGACAGACAGACAGACAGACAGATAGATAGATAGATAGATAGATAGACAGACAGACAGACAGACAGACAGACAGACAGACAGACAGACAGACAGACAGACAGACAGATAGATAGATAGATAGATAGATAGATAGATAGATAGATAGATAGATAGATAGAAGATTATTTCTAAATAAATTCTGTGGGGGAAATCTGTAAATTATTTGTGCAATACCAGAACCAAATGAATGTGTTAAAAAAAACCTATTGTTACAATGTGGCTGTCTTCTAGCAACATGTTTAAAATATAACATCTGATAGTGTCAGATAAGTTAGTACTAACAATATGCAAAAACAAATCAATGACTAATGTATTGTGACTAAAGAAGGTGTCTGTTTTAAATTACATGTAGGAGCAGCTGCTATTCTAGCAAACTGTGCTTATCATAACTTAGCCAAACTGATACCATTGACAACAAACGAAAGTTATCAGTAAGCTTAGGGAAATCCCAAAGTTTGTAGAAGGGCCAGTACTTGAGAAAATTCCCTCCGAGAAGAAACCCTCCAAGACAGTCTGAGAGAGTCCTGAGAATGTTTAGTGTTCACACATCATGCTGACTGTTGGAGAGAGGCTGAAAACAGTGTGAAGGAGGAACCGAATCGAAGATGTGAAACAGGAGCAGCTCATAGCAAAATATTTTGTCACATTACCTATTTGCTATGCTATATTTTGTGTAATTTAGCCCACATATATTAAGATGACTTGATTACTGATATTAAAATATTACCTCATGAAATTTTTCTAACTTTATTCGTTCAGCTTCCAATTCTTCCTGACGCAGTTCTCTCCTTTTCTCTTCCTCCTTCCTTTTTTCTGCTTCTATCTCTCTCTGAGCTTTCAGGTACTTTATTGTTTCATATTCAAGATCTTTTTGCTTTTCTACCCAATGTTGATATTCTTGCTTGCATCTTTCTTCAACTTCTTGAAAAGTAAGGGTTATGACCACGTCGTCATCATCTAGAGGAATGCACACATAATATACTAGTTCCCAATTTTAAAAAGTGTTGCCAGCTCATGTAGGTTTCAAGAATATGCACTATACTATAAACTGGGAAGTAAAATTATTTCTGTTAGAGATAATGTGGTTTAACACTCCATGCTAAACTAGGCTATCTCATTTCCAACACCACCACAATATATGCCACATCATACTGAATAAAAGCATATCACAAAGAAAGAAAATAGTTGCATTTCTGTGTCTAAACAACATTGACCTTAGAGACCTGGGCTCAGACCTCACTTAAGTCATGAATGAACTGGCTGGCTTTGTATAAATTACGACCATGCAGCTTTCACCATAATAACAATATCCTTCCTCTCTTATGGAGACAAATGGCACAGGAATTGTGGAGCACTTTGCTTTGTTATTATAAGCAGAAAGTAGGAACGATTAAAGTACACCATGTCAGAGATGTTTATAGGATTATGTCTATTCCAATTTGTTCATATTACAATTTAAAATGCATAGATTGCAAATAATTTGTCATAGGTACACTGGGAAGGAATGCAGAACACACTGTGCTGCTTAATGAGAAGCAAAGGTTTTTCTAAAAAAAACCTACACTATAAATGGTCACAATGATACTAAATAACAGAGACAATATTTCTTTATTTGAAAAACAGTTGATCTGTACATATGTCCCACAAAGCACATTTCCTGACAAGTCTCCATCTCCTTGGAGGGAATGCAGTGGGGCAATTTGCTGTAAACTTAATCTTCCCATATTATCACACACCAACATACAAGTCTATCAGATAAAGCTCAGTGTAGTCTAGAGCAGAGGTCCCCAACTTTTTTAACCCTGCGGACCGGTTTTTCATAAGATTGCAGTTTAAATGGCATGTATACATAATATTTATTTATTTATTTATTTATTTATTTATTTATTTATTTGATTTGTTAGATTTATATACTGCACTCGGGGGGCACTCATGCACATGCGTGAAGGGGTGGGGAGCACTCGTGTGGGTGAATGCACATGCACAAAGGGGCTATGTGGGGAGGAGTGTGTGCAGGGGGAAGTCTGTCTCTGCATCCCAGTCTGGCTCAGGCCACAGACCAGCACTGGGCCACAGACCGGGGGTTGGGTATCTATGGTCTAGAGTAGACAAACATATAGTAAAGACACTGATCCAGTCTTTATTTTACATGGATTGCCAAAAAGTAGAGTCGGGTCAAGTAACACATCCTTTTTCAGAAAACACCTACGTTTGTTTGAATATTTATTTATTTATTAATTAATAAATATTAGACCCACAGCTAATATTATTTCAATTAAATATGTAGTATTGTCACAGCCACTAACAACTGGATGTTTCAGCTGCACATTTGATTCGCATCTAATGCATAATTATGTACATTCCACATAATTTAATGGAAATCCTCTGAATTCATAGGATTGCAGTTTAAATAGCATGTATACATTTTATTTATTTATTTATTTATTTATTTATTTATTTATTTATTTATTTACCGCCCATCTAGAACGGGTCTACTCTGGGCGGTTTACATATAATATAAAAATAAACTAAGATAAAATCAAGATTACTCCAAGATGGGAAAGGAAAAAAGAAAGGGGGGGGCAAGAAACTAAGATAAAATCGAGATTAATCCAAGATGGGAAGGGAAAAAAGAAAGAGGGAAAAAAAGAAGAGGAAGAAGAAGGAGAGAAGAGGAAAAAAAGAAAAGGGGCATGAGAAGGCCTGAATTCTGGCTTTTTCCCACTTGGCGTTAGGCCCCTCAGCTGCCCAGCCTGACTGGAGCGGGTGATATGGGTAGGGCTGTGCGGAAGAAGGTGCTCTGCCAGGTATCGAGGTCCTAAACCGTTAAGGGCTTTATATGTAATGGTTAACACCTTGAAATCAACGTGGAATTGAATGGGTAGCCAGTGTAAGGCAGCCAGAGTGGGGAAAATATTGTGAAATCTTTTCACCCCTGTTAATAGTAATTTCTGGAGATAATTTTCGTCAATAGGATTTAAATTATGTTCTTGGTCTTATAGTTAAGCATTTTTCAATCTCTGTCCCCAGTCCATAAAGAGATATGACAAACAAGAATCATCCCTATATTTTATTGAATAATGTTAACATTCTGTAAGAATAAATTGATAAAAACCAAAATTTATTTTTGTATATTACCAACTAAGTTGCTTATGATCAGTTCTAATCTCTACTCAGATGTTCCACTCACATCAAGTCCCATTGCTTCTGAGAAAGTATGGTTCATATTTTGTTGAATTAGTCATTCCCACACTAACACACTCATTACAAAAACAACATATTTACTTGGAATGAGGGTGTGGAAGCAGAGAAGGATGTTTCACAAAAGCAGAAGAAATATTAAAATTTAAAAGTATTTCTATTTCTTTACATGGCTATTCAACCACATCTATCTTCCAAGCCATTCCTGACGCTAAAACACCATTTCAAAAGTACTCTGGCACTATTTCAGTTAAAAAGAAATCATGTTGTAAAAGTGACCATATCACAAAGCTACATAATCAATTAAATCTAGTTATGTAAGGAAAATGAAGACATTTCATAGCAAGGGAAAGGTGAGGCAGAAGGCACTGACCTCACTTGGAATGAACATTGTTTGGCCTTAACAATCTCAACTACAATCTTTATTCCCTTCTGCCTAGATACTGGGATGGAGTGAGGGGAATTGACTGACTTTTGAGACACATTATAGTATTTGTGTACAGTATTTTGAGACACATTACAGTATTTGCGTATCTGAGTATTCCTCTGTCTTGACTTAGAAAAGTCCTTAGACCACACCTTTAGTTAGCACCACAGTGCTTACTTCTGAGTAAACATGATTAGCTTGAACTGCAGATTTGTTTACCTCCACCAGTAGGTTCACTGGAAGAAACACTTGCACTGTTGTTTGGCTCAATGGTATTGTCAGGAGCCTCACTTATCTGTTCCTCTTCTTCATCTATTTCAGATAACACCTGAAGAGCAAAATATATTCATCATAATGTAGCTGAGCATGAAGCTATTAAAATTAAATAACAAATAATATGAGGAGAAGTTTAGTTCAACGTGGGCAACAATTAACAGGCAAGGCTTACAGTACTGAAGAAAATGTAGTTGATGAAGAGACGCTATGGAATACTTCCTCTCCCTTCCTCTTTGCAAGTGAGCAGAAAGGAAGCTTCCCATTTTTCAAGATCATTAAGTGGCTTCCGCAAAGGGACAGTCCATCAGCCAACCAGCCAGCCACTTTGCTTCAGTCCCAGAAATCCCATATGTTAGAACCAAGTCATCCCTGACAATGACCCTCAAAAGGTAGGCATCAATCAGAAGCAGGCTGATACACAATTATATGAATATCATATGGTTTTCAGGTAAAGGAGCAAAGCAAACCTTTGTTCCAAAACATGGGACAAAAACCTATCTGTTCACACACTCAATTATAATACTATCCTAGTCACAGTGAGGCTTACTTCTAAATAGATATACAGTGATGCCTCGCAAGACAAAAATAATTCATTCCGTGAATCATTTCGTATTGCGAAAATTTCATCTTGTGAAGCATGGCCATAGAAAAAACTTGTTTTGTGAGTAACCAAAAAAAATCACAAAACGCTTTTGTCTTGCGAGGTTTTCGTTGTGCGAGGCATTTGTCTTGCAAGGTATCACTGTAAATACGATAGCATTGTGACTGAATTTGTTTAACCTTACAGCAGCACAGTGATAATGTCACAGAGAAAGGGAAAGACAGAAACAATAAAATTTCTCAAAATTACATTTTAATGTTATACACTAAATCCAATTTCAGTTCCAACTAGAATGGACTTATTGAAATGAATGGAACTTGTGAACACAAGACCTGTTGATCTTGTATCTGTAAGTTTTCCCCAGTGATACAATTGCAGTTACCTCATAATATACAACTTCAAATTTTAAAGCCAGTTTACTGTGATGATCTACATTGGATCTAAATTCGAGAGATGTAAATTCAAATCCATGTTTAGCTGCATAACTTATGTGGTAAATATGGGCCAATCTCAGTAATTCAGCTCTTTTTTTTAACTGCAAGAAAATGAATGGCAGTAGAGAGATTATGTATGCCATACAGAGTTATTGGAAGGAAAGATGGCAAATAAATACAACACAACAAGCAGATTTTAATCACAGTATTCTGAAACATTGCTAGAGTTTATCTTTGGTACACCATAACTCCACTGAAATTATTGGAACTTTCCCAACCAAACACTTCACGCAATGCAAAAAATCTAAATGATCAACACTAAACAAGTATCTATCAAATAAAACATATGGAGGTTTTTAGATCTATATAATACCCTTCTCTTTAATTCTTCTGGATCTTCGTTATATTCAGAAGCCAATACAGCCAAGTGTTCTGAAGCATTTTTAGGAACAACATTGTAAATATCATCTGAAAATGAAGACATAGTAGAATTTGATCACTTCATAAGCAGTTATTGTTCAAGCCCTAAATAACTAATTTATTTACTGGTAGATCATCAAGTCATTACAATTTGGCCAGAGCTCTGGATTGCATTATTGTATTTCTGAAAACTAAAAAAGTCATATGTTCCACACAATCTCAAGCTTATGTAGTCCCCTTTTTCTCTTTTAAAATTAATTGTAAAGATTAGTTTAAAGTTTTAAGATCAGATTACAGTTTTACATTTACAAACCACAAGATAATACTTCAGATAGCCTAAATACAAGAAATTCAGTATGTAATGGGGGTTTTGCAACCTCCTAATTTTACAATGTCATGCTTCCTACTAGTTGTAACAAATATCTCAAAATGGTGGTTGTAGCGATCACCCTGCTTTGGCTCAGGTAGAAGATTATTGGCATGTACCAATGAAAGCTGTTGGGAGGTGGAGCCAGAGAAACTAGTTCAGTTCAAAGACAGAGTTTTGAAGGGGGGAAGAGTTTGGAGTTTGAGGCAGAGGGAGTGTTTAAGGGGTGATTAGTCAGAGTGTGACCTGTATTAATTAAGATAGAAGCGGTTAAAGTAAGATACTGAAGCTTTGTGTAACTTTTAGAATGTGCTTAAGAACTAGTCCTAAAACAACTTGTAATCAATAAACCTATTTCTGTTTAAAAGTTCAGTACTGAATGGACCTCAGTCTTTCATAGGAAATACAGGTTGATAAAGAAATCAGCTGGTGGCAGCGTGTTAAACGGCGTGTTGGGCTACTCAGGTGAGCTCTTTATTTGGTGAAACAAGCAGAGGTCACATGTGTAAACGTCACAATGGTAAACACTGACTCCAGTCAAGAATGGACACTGAAGTCCAAGTCTTTTTTAAAGGCTACAGAGCTGCACTGATCTTAGACAAATTTCACAAATGCAAAGAGTGTGCGGGGCAAACAAAAAGTGGCTGAGCATGGCCAGTCCTGCCAGGATGGTTTTCTCAGCTGAAAATTTAATCCAGATGGTCAATTCTGCCCTTGACAAGTGAATGCTATTTGCCAGCTACAGGGTAAGCAGGAGGCATGGAAATCCTTCGCTAGGTTTATTTACAGCAATAACCTAATAAATGGTCTTCTTATCTCTTGAGATAAACCTTACTAAAAGAAGTGGCTAACCAGAACAATATCTATTGATTTCCATTCTTTGTGAGTGCCTATCTGCTGTGCTGATCCCAAGACGTTATGTTGGTTCTATTTAGATTTTTCCCTCAGCTCTCTGTCCTGAGAGACTTGGGTCATATTAGTTAATCCTGCTTTCTTGGGACAGTTCCCAGTTCACACATGCATGTTTACAGAAGCTACACTTACACACACAAAACTGAGTCACGTTGGTACAACTGCCTTACAAGAACTGAGTTCTGCCAACACCTCTCTCATCCTTTCCCCTTTCACAAATGGAGACAGGCATAAGAGGATGGATAGGGAGGTTCAGTGGTCCAGATTTGACCATCCCAAATTATATAATCTATATTGTCTAAATACATGTAGAACTGAAAAAACACCACCCAACCTAAAAATTGGAAATTTGAGACTGGTCAAAACATACAACAGAACCCAAGTGAGGACTGTTTCCACTAAAGGAATATCTTATGCCTCAATACAATTCTGTCCTATCGTCTACTAGCCCAAAACTTCACTGGCTGCAAAGAATGAAAACCCAAGTGCTTAATGTCACACCAACAAAAATCCTGCTCCTTCTTCTAGCCAGGTTGGAAATGGCACAATATTCCACTTTTACTGACCCCTGCCACATAACATGTTCATTAGAAAGAGTTTTAAAATCTTCCCATGAATAGCAGTGCAAAAATGATACAGTATCCAGATTAATGTATTTTCTACTATTACGAATGCACAGATTAGATTACTTGTAGAGAGATAAGGAAATGTTTTAATTGAAAATACATCAAATATACTTTAATAAATCATCACTTACCTGATATTCCACCATTCTCTAAATCTTGCAGGATAAGTCTTTCTGCATTTTGACTTCTGCCTCTCACAAAATCTAAATAATGGTGAACTGATTCTGGTAATTCATCTGAAATCTAGATATGTATACAATTATGTTCTACATTCTCAGTTTTCATCAATAATTCATTTTTATTTATTTTATTATTGGATTTTTATCCCGCCCTTGTAGACAGGAGCCTTCTCAGGGTGGCTCACAATATATTGTGCACAAGCAACTTAAAACAATTAAAATCTACAATAATACTATAATCAAGACAATAATAAATATGTTGTCTTATGTTTGTCTTCAATTGTAACTTCAGATGCAAGCTATAACCTGTGGAATATGTTACAGAACCTAATATTTTAGGAAGAGTTAGCTATAATACTCCAGTTTAATAGGTTTCCTTTTCATTGATTACACAACACTGAATGTTGTGTGTGTTCAGCAGAGATCTGCTTGCAATGACCAGGGGAGTGGATATATACCAGCATGATATCATCCACTGGGATATACTATTGGACCGTTAATCAGCTTTGTGTCCAGCAGCATTACAGAAGGCAAATTCCACACTAGAAATGAATAGAAAAGATATCAAAATTGAAATTGCCAATATTGTAATGCTTTTACTTATGCTCTGACATTTTGAACACTATGTGTAGGTTGATTGCTACAGTTCAAAGAAAATACTGTGGAGTTGCTAAAGGGGCAGAAAAGGGCAGCCAGGATCTTCCTCCATTACAGGAAAAGTTATCAGTGTTGAGATATTTTTATTTAGGAACTATGATGAGGAAGTGAATTATAAACTTCTGTACAAATCCAATGTAGGAAAATTGGATAGTGTCTTTGTTGTTGTTGCTGCTGTTCTTTTCTCGTAATAGTAAATGCAGAGGTCATCCAATGAAGCTAGATCCCAGGAAATTCAATAAAGAGAAAAAGAATTATATCCTTACATAACATGAACATTGTGAAATTTGCTATTACTCAATATAGTAATGGTAACCATGTTAAATGACTTGTAGAGGACAAGGCTATAAATGGCTATAAATCCCTTATTTAGAGAGAATAAGATTTTTCAGTGGCCTGTAAATGGCTATAAATCCCCTATTTAGAGAGAATAAGATTTTTCAGTGGCTATCACACACAGTGGCTACATGGTACCTCCATGATCAGAGACAGCTATTGTTTGTCTGCCTCTAATAGGTCAACAGACTGTGATTGATTGGCTGTGCAATATAAGATGCTGGACCAGACAGACCTTTAATCTGATCCAGCTGTATAACAACAAACAGCACACTCCTAGGCATGTTTATTTGGAAGTCCCCACATTAAACTTCATTGCTCTGTAATCAGTGGTCCCCAACCTTTTCTGAACCATGGACTGGTTGTGGGGGGCAGGGTCTGTGCATGGGGGGCATGCTTGAGCATGCACAGATGGCGCAGGGACAGGGCACCTGTGCATGTGGGTGGACGGGCCATGTGTGTTTGCGTGCGGAGAGGGGGAGGGCAGGAGATCTGTCTCCATGGCAGGGCACCTGTGCATGCGGGTGGATGGGCCATGTGTGTTTGCGTGCGGAGAGTGTGTGAGGGGGAGGGCAGGAGATCTGTCTCCATGGCCCGGTCCTGCCAAGGCCACCAGGCCACAGACCAAGGGTTGGCGACCCCTGCTCTACATAGTAATGGCGGGAAAACTCTCCCATCAGTACATCTACATCATTGGAAAACAGGGCTGGTGCTACTATTACGCAAAATGAGTTAGCAAATTTAGGCAGTAAATGCCAGGAGGCAGACAGCAGTGATGTGTTATCAGATACAGTTGTTATGTTTCATGTAACTTGCCCTGTGCACATTAAACTAACCTGCTGCTTCCTGGTACAGGGGTATATTTGTCTATCTGCCAGTGTTAAGATAAGAGAGGCTATCATCTTGTTTTTTGCTCCGACAGCAAAATTTCTTAAGCAAAACAAAAACAAAACAAAAACCACACCAAGTTGGTTACCCTTGAAGTTGTGTTGTAAATTCCCTCCCCACCCCTCAGCTTTCTCTAAAAGCAGAGAAACAAACAGAACCAAGTAGCATGGAAGCCTTAATTCCCTTTCTTCATACTGCTTTCCTCATTTTTGGAATCCTGACAAGACAGAGATCACTGGTTCATGCATTGGTAATCTCAAGGACTGACTACTGTAATGTTCTCTACGTGGGGCTGCCCTTGAAAGGGGTTCAGAAGCTGCAGCAAATGCAAAATGCAGCAGTCAGGGTGGTCACTGATAAATCTAAATTTGTCATGACTCTCTTGCACTGGCTGCCAGTATGCTTTTGAACCAAATTCAAGCTGTTGATGCTAACTTATAAAGCCGTTTATGACCTTACTACATGTCAGAACACCTCTCTCTTAGGCAATCTTCACATCCCACCCACACCTCCCAGTCTTTAATGTTGCGGGTGGCTACTCCAAAAGAGGCCCAGAAGGCACCAACCAGAAATCTGGCCTTTTCAGTAGTGGCTGCTTCACTCTGGAACTCTCTTCCTGTGGAGGTGCGACTGCCCCCCACCCTCCTGAGCTTCCACAAGCAAATTAAAACTTGGCTTTTTACCCTAGCTTTCCCAAGCACCACCTTTTCATAAAATTATGCTGGCCTGTTGTTTGCCATCCTGTGTCCCAGATGGGTGATTTTTCTTTTAATATGTTTTATTTTTCAGCTGTATGTTTTATATATTTTGTAAGCTGCTCAGAGTAGTGACATGCTCACTAATTGGGCGGGGTGTGTGTTATAAATTAAAATAAATAAATAACAGCCCACCAATCCCCAAACGCTTCCCCCCAAAATGTTAACTTTAAAAACACAAATCTGCTTTTGTGTCTATATTCCAGCTGGCATTAGCAAGTGGTTTTCGGATGGTAAAAAATAAATAGCTGTCACAGACATAGGACGCTTGCCAGGAAGAAGCTCTCCATAATGCAGGCAACACAAAGACAACCATTTTGCTCTTTGTTAAAAAAGATAAAAGGGTAAAAAGATTTTTAGTATAACACACACTGTAAAAAGCCCTATCTTACCAATGTTTGTTTTTCTCTGCTATAGACATACGGATCATTTTTTCCACAAGCAGAGCCATAACTAGCCATTTTGCCATCTGAGGTGGCTCCACCTCTGAGGCAAGGCTACTAGCCCAAGCAATGAAAAAGGAAGAGGAAAATGTGGTGTGTCCCCTCACCCAAAGATTATGTTTCAAACAGAAAAGAAAATGGTGTCGCTGTTTATTTTTCTAATACTCACTGGCAGATTCACCTGTAGATGTCAGGGTGCCTAAAAAATTTTAGTGCCCTGGAGCAAAGCCATAGTTGCTCCACCCTAGGAACAGCTGTTAAGAAGTAGTATAGCTCATGTTTTTAAAAAGAGTTAAATACAGAGAGGATAATGGGGAAAGAACGACAACTACTTTCATGAAGATGAACATGTATGAATGAAGCAAAAACAGATTTCTTCAGAATATAGGATTTTGTTGTTGTTTAGTCGTTAAGTCGTGTCCGACTCTTCGTGACCCCATGGACCAGAGCACACCAGGCCCTCCTGTCTTCTCGGAGTTTGGTCAAATTCATGTTGATAGCATATAGGATTAATAGGAAGCAAATTATCCATCAAGGACCCTTAATAAGTTCTCATTGTCTATAGCATGTCTAGAGTCTTGTTCCTTTTCATGGAGTATAAAACTCACAAGAGCGGAATGCTCTATCTGAACCCTGATCTCTGGCCTGCTGTTACTTGCACGTGCTTTAAATTCAGCTTTCTGTTGCTGCATTACAACTTGTATGTGGCCAGGGAAAAATGACAAGCAGAAATGCTTCTCCTGCAGCATGTTGCCTGGCAATAGGATATTGGCCTATGCTTTACTCAGCCTAGTGAAAGTATTTGTCTATAGAGCGTTGTATATAAACTAATTTTGTCATAAAAATGTGCCTTCTAGCCCTGTGGATGCTACATTATTCATTTATTTCCCTAGTAATCTGTCCATCAACCAAGAAAGCTTATAATATAGATAATGAGACTACTTACTGGTTCACTATCACTTGAAGCTTCTAGGGATACATCACTGTTAGGATCATCTGTTTCAAAGGAAGAGAAGCTGATTTGGCTTAGTTCAAGTTCTATTTCTTCTTCAATTTCTGCATCATCATAATTTTCCTCCATCGCTTTTATTGCAATATGTAAAAAAATAAAGGAGGTGCGTATTACTGAATTGCATACCTACTGCTACTGTTACTTATTTGCATTGGCAAAATTGAAAGGCAGGGGGAAAAAAAGCAAAAAGCAATTATTGCGGCACCTTAAAGACTAACATATTTTTCTCAGTGCGAGATTATGTGGATCAAAATAATTTTCAATCAATAATTGAAACATATTTATTACTCTTTAAGCTGTCACAATATTTCATCCTTTTTTTCCTCTCCCTTTGATTTTGCTGATATACTAGCCTCTTTGAAAATTATTATTCATTCACTTGCTGTTATTTATTAGTTACAGCTCCATCCTGTTTTTCTTCCTATGAGTTCAAGGCACTGCACATGGTTGTCCTCCCACCCAGTTCATCTTTCTGACAGTCCTATGAGGCTGATAAAATGTTATCACCAAGCTCATTTAGCTCCTTGGGAACTACAGCCTGGCCGTCCCAAATCCCAGTCTGATAATCAAACTGCTATAGCATACTTCTTCGAGTATGCCATTAACCATGGCACAACCAATAACTGCAAATCAGTGCAATTATCTCATTAATCTAAAGTACTGTTCTAAAATATAAAACCATGTCATCTTCCAAACGTTGGAAAATAACAGCCTAACAGCAATAGTAGAAGAACATAACTCGGCAGAGGAAATGTAAAGTTTGAGTTTGGAAGTTTTTGCTTAACTGCTACTGTCCTCAATTGTGTCATACACACCCATGGCCAACTGCTTAATATCCTTTTACCATACTGGATAGACAGCTATTAAACTCTCCATGCTCCCCATCTCCGATGAACTCCGACCTGCTTCAGAACCCGCCGCAGAGCTGTCGGCTTCAGTGTTGCAGGAAGTGTAACCACGGCAACGGGGAATGGGTAGCTACGGAGGCCGCGAGGGCTGGAATTAGGTTGCTTTGAATCCAGTGTCCCGAGGAGAAGGAGAGCGTGGAAGAAGATAAAGAGTATGTTGGCTGTTTGGGAGTACAGAAGACGCAAGAAATGTAATTAAGGGGAGGGGGGAAATTTTCCCCTTCGTGTTTTGGCTTCCCCAAAATATGCTTGCTTTCCCCTTTTTGGAGATTTATAGGTAAAAACAAAATAAAATCCAAAAAAACAATTAATGCGAGTTTTCGTGGTTAGTCTTTAAGGTGCCCCCCCGCGGTTATGTATTTTGATTCTTTTATTTCTATTTTTATTTTTTGAACTTTATTTTGTTTTTACCTATAACGCGTGCACAGACTAACACGGCTACCTCTTCTACGTTTACAGAGAAACGTTTCTTGGACTCCCGAGGGAGGCACAAAAAAATAAGTTCCCCCCCAAAACAACGTACCCCCCTTTTTTTACCTAGTGCAAAATCCGCGACCGAACAGAAAAACAAAATATTTCCTGTTACCTCGAAGACTGGCAGCGCAATTCTGTGTCTTTTCAAAGGGCAATAAGCAAGGCTGCAACTAGGATGGAGCAACCGGGATTTTGCCCAAGGGCACCCACATTTACAGAGCACCGAAATCTTGGGGTTATGAGTGTTAATAAAATAAACAGCAACACCTCCTAGCCCTGTTTGCTCCCCCCCAAAAAGCATAACATGCTCATCGTTTTGGGTGTACAATAATCTAAATGAAACACTGAAAAACTACAAGCAACAAATTAGTTGGATTGCTGTGTTCTGTTGCTTTTAAATGTGTTTTTAGTATTGGTTTTACTTACAATTTTAAATATATTTATTTAATTCTTTTTAAAATGTTTTCATTCTTGTTTTTTAAGGTTTTCAATGTTGTCTTTTTAATTATGTAAGCCATTTTGGGTCCTTTTAAGAAGAAAGGTGGGATAAAATATTTTAAATAAATAAATCTAATACCCTAATCCACTTACCAAACTTTGCCAGAATTTTACTATGCATTACACTTTCTAAACATGGTATTGATTTTTTAAAAATGTTCTTTCTTAAGTAAAAGACAAATCGTGCAAGAGGCTGAGCATTTACAATTTAAATACGTACATATTAAATACATCCAACTTCCCTCCTCAACCTGGAGAGGGAGTTGTCAAGACCAAGGAGAAGTCTAGTTTTATGAATATCTATCTTTGGAAGCTATTTCTATTGATTGTTCTGGGTTTTTCGGGCTCTTTGGCCGTGTTCTGAAGGTTGTTCTTCCTGACGTTTCACCAGTCTCAGTGGCAGGCATCTTCAGAGGACAGCAACCTGTCCAGAGTACAGGTTGCTGTCCTCTGAAGATGCTGGCCACAGAGACTGGCGAAATGTCAGGAAGAACAACCTTCAGAACACGGCCAAAGAGCCCGGAAAACCCAGAACAAGCATTAGATCCCGGCCGTGAAAGCCTTCGCGAATAAATTTCTGTTGAGATCCATGGGTCAAGCTCCCAAATCAAATTGTACAGAATTGCAGCCTAACTTGTAAACAAACACAGTATATGAGACTACGGAATGTGCTTATTGCTCATATGAGATAGAAATTAAACCCAGGAGCCTTAACTTGTACTTTCTGTGCTTTTGAGGACAGAACTGTGTGTGTAAGCTCTTAACTCTTAATTCTTTTGTCCTTGGAAAGTAAAAGAAAGAAAATGACACTGGGAGCATAATGAATATATATAGTTAGTAACAAAGAAGTAGATCCTCATCAACAGAGTTCACAAAATGTGGCATACAGTTCGTACAATATGAGTAAGTGGAATTAATATTAAAACATGAAGTGGAGTATTTGTCAAGAGCTGTATCTTAGGCTTTTGTTCTATTAGAAAATTATATTTTATTAGAAAGTATCTGTATTATGGGATTACTAGAACTACGGCCATTGTTTGTGCTTCATATTCGTTAAGATGACCGTGTCCCATCCAATCTCCTCCATCATAATGAAGCCAGAGCTTATCAAAACTCAGTCATACTTCACAGGAGCAGCTTACAGACAGAGTGGTGGAAGGAAAACATTTCAGTCCAAAATTTTCAGGGGAAGGTATCACCAATTGTGAGCTGCCTGTGGTCTTAGAGCAAATGAAATAGCAGAAAACTGCCCCCCCCCAGTCATGGGCTACCTTCCCACACAGCATGGTAGCTTTGGAGACTAATTTACTGGTAGTGGAACAGGCTAAAGCCAGTAGCAGTGGATGGATCCAAAGACAAAAGCCAGCCAACCCATCCTTTTCTCTCCTGCTACTTTCCTACTTAGCAGGTTGCTGAGAAAGGAATGGATTCACTCTTTGAGTCAATTGGAAGGCACAGTAGAGGTGAAATTAATGAATGTGCAGGCACTTTCCATTGGGGAAGACACTAGGCATGTTCACATGAAAGTCTCTGTGATGGATAAAACTGGCACTGGCATTGTCCACAGTTTGCTGCTTTCTTATTAGTCCCCATAATAAAAAGCTACGCACTAGTGTTAAAGCAAATATGGCCACAGGAAGTTGAGTTGTGGAAAAGGTAACTTTTGCATTGTTACCAATGCAATAGACACCGTCCATGCATGGTGCACAACCTGAAGCACAATGGCTCTGCAAGATTGGGGCAGTGGGGATATTATGAGATATTGCAGTTTTAGGAGTGGAAAATGTAATAGTGCCCACAACAGAAGTGTATCCCTAATGGAAGGTGTTTGATCCCATAGGGTGGAGGTGGGAACCCTGAAGATTAAAAGGAAAAAAGTCCCTCATCATTGAGTAATTGCAATCACCACCAGAACAGGCATTCTTACATGTAAAACGGAGAATTCTGTAAATGCTTGTGAGAAATTCTGTAAAACTGAGCAAGTGTTTCCTTAATGGAGCATTTGAAATGACGTGACATACATAAATCTAAGCAGAGAGAGAAAAGCCAACTGAAGATTGAATCAACAAAGAAACATCAGTGGGGAAGACCTGCTTGTTTTACCCCTTGTTCTGTTAGAAAAAGATAGTGCCTCTGCTGATTCTAAATCAGATTTTTCATCTGTACAGTTCAGCTTTATAGTAAATATCTCCTTTCATAGCCATGTTTAAAATGTTAACATGATCTGGAACTATAGGCATTTTTTTTTGGTAGGATGTTATTGTGTACTAAAAATAAATGATTTCATTTTCAAGGATACATTATCTTGCATCATTCAGATAGGAACTGTCATTTTTATTACTTCCAGGTGTTGGGTTTTATGTTTGTGGCTTTTGTTTTCTGGATGTCACTTGAGATAATTTTTTTTACTGTTTTGTGTGAGTAATAAGCACCTGTGCATGTAGTTTTTGTTCTCCATAGCATTTAAGTCTGCATTCATTAACCCTCATACTCCAGGGTGATGTGTTGTTGTTGTTGTTGTTGTTGTTGTTGCTGCTGCTGCTGCTGCTGCTGCTGCTGCTGCTGCCTGCAGAGGATTAGAATCCTGCCTTGAACAATCCTGTTGTGGATTATTGTCTATCCCCAATGAGAATTCCATTATACTGAGGGTTAGTACGAGTAGTAGGGTTACAGTTCAGTGTACCTGTCTCATATTTCCTGAATCCTTTGAGGATTCATGTGCCCAGCTGCTGAACCTGGGTAGGCCTCTCAAGCTTCTCAGGAGTCACTGAAAATTGCATGAGACACTTTTTGTACCCATACACTACAAGAAAGTAATATGTGGCCGGCATCTTCAGAGGACAGCAACCTGTGCTCTGGTGATAATAAATGTTGATAATAAAGCATTAAAGTTCCCACAAGATGGCGGTATTGACTTGCAGGATAGTTTACCATTTCCATCCTAATGGGCTGACTATGGGTATATCTACCATTCCATCTGGTATATCACACTGGTTCTCTAAACATATCTACAGTTATATCCTTAGATCTTCTTCTTCTACAGATGTGCTAACTATATTGCCTAGTCTGACCTTGGGTCTACATATACTGGAGGAGAAGCTGTGGGTGAAGTAATCATCTTGCTCAAGTTCTCTGGCCCCTGGAACACAGTCCCAGGGATTATATAATAAAATGAATCACCCCCTCCATAGCTGAGAAGAGAATCTCCCCTTCTTCCCTGATCTCAACAGAAATACTTCAGTGTTTACCCACTGATGTCAGGACTCTTGCCATCCATAGAAACAAAAGCTGGTATGGAATGATCACAAGGAGGTCCCTGGAAATGCTGCAGGAGGGGCAGAATATACACTATCGTTGGAGCTGCCATACATAATTCTTCCATCATTGGTTGGGAGGGAGATCATGCAATGGAGGAAAAAATAAATCTGGAAAAGAAAACGAAGGGAATGCTGGTTTCTTGCTCTCTTCCATCTAGGTACTTTGGCTCCAGATTTTCTTTTGCAGTCTGGTTTGTTTTCATGCTGACTCATAATTTAGTGGATTATATGTCGTCCCAATAGATTCGAACATATCTGGGAGGCCCTGTGAAGAGTTTGAATGTGTCAGGCACTCCTTCTGTAGAAGTATGGCAGCCAAGGTGGATTTGCTTGATGGGCAGAAGGGGCATCCCAGCCCCAAGAAACCCGTGTAGAGACAGCTAAAGAAGAGACCATTTGCCTTTCAGTTATGGTAGTGGTGGGGGCTTGTAGTGGGAGGCATTGTATCTTAACAACAACAACAATATCCTGTCATGTCAATACTGACTTACTGTAACCCTTTTCAGGGTCTTCTGTCTTTCTCAGACTCTTACTCTCTAGCTGTCTCTCTCATGAATATAACAATGCAATGCCTTCAGGAAATGAAGGAGGGCACCAGGGTGGGGGAGGCTGATCTGTAGCTAGTAAAGAATAGTGGAAAAGACCAGAAACCGTAAAAATATATTCAACCTCCAGCTGTTTTTTCCCCCCATTATTGCCACCGTTTTATATTCTTCAATTTGTAACAA